ACACGTCTGTGTCACTATCGGCAAAAGAGCACACTTGTCTACGAAGGGGGCTACACCGGACGTAGTATGACTGTGTAGTATGACTGTGTAGTATGACTGTGTAGTATGACTGTGTAGTATGACTGTGTAGTATGACTGTGTTGTTTTCCATGAGTATATAAGAGAGTGGTTTTTTCATAAACGCTAGTTGCGAGTGCGCCTTGTTCACGTCTCCTTTCTTGTATCTTGTCCTTGTGTATTTTCGGCGCCCTGAAAGTTATGACTCCCGAGCTACTAAAGGTGGAACGCAGAAAGCGAGCCTCGTCTAAGAAAGCTGCTCTCCTGCATTGCCCTGTCGTGCTCCAAGAAGCAAAGCAGCTCCAAGGGGTCCCTCAAATCTGCGATTCGTGTCGCCCAAAACAGCTACCAACACGGCATTGCCATGAAGCTCGAGACAGATCCCAAAATGTTTTGGGCCTACAATGTTCGACAGTGGTCGGCCTCTCACCGGCCATGCCTCATATCCGCTGACTGGACGTGCAGTCCGATCACTTTCCGTGTCCCGTACACTGCGACCGTCCTCCCTCACCTCCAGCACTGTTGCGCAGTGTGTGGCCCATACCAGGCACATCTAGTCGACAGCGTGGAGAGCGTGCAGAGGCGTGCCACTGGGACCTTCTTCAGCCGCCAGAACGAACATTCTCTGCCAAATGAGTGTTGGCTGAATCGCCTCAGATGGCAGCCAGGAGGAGAATCGCCAGGTCAAACTTGACTGGCCGTCTCCTTGACGGCTCTCTCGGGGGGACATATATTGGGTCCCTCTCAAGTCTAACCGAGAGATTAGGGCAGCCCCAGCCCATCTGCACTCGGATTCGTCGCCACAGCTGCCATTGACCTTGGCAGGGATCGAGGGCCCTCTTACTTTCCGTTCAACCCCTGCACCACAACCAAACTGATTCTACACGGTTCTGCTGCGCGTTCGCTAGGAGTTTGCGACTTCAGCAGCCGTATAGTGCTGAACTTGGACCCCGTCTGTAATTCGTATACTCATTCCTTTTTGCGTGTGTGTGTGTGTGTGTTTGTGCGCACGCGCGCGCGCGTGTGTGCGTGTGTGTGTGTGTGTGCGTGTGTGTGGGCGTGTGCGTGTGCCTGTGTGTGTGTGCGTGTGTGTGCGTGTGCGAGTGTGTCTGCGTGCTAGTGTGCCAGAGTGTGTGTGCGTGTGCGAGTGTGTGCGAGTGTGTGTGTGTGTGTGCGAGTATGTGTGTGGGCGAGTGTGTGAGAGTTTGTGCGAGTGTGTGCCAGTGTGTGAGTGTGAGAGTGAGTGCGCGCTTTTTATTTTATTTAGCATTTTCGCCGGCGGGCTGGCAGGCGCACTTCCGTACGGGTTTTCACCTTTTTGTACAGCCTTGCACGCCGCCCACGATGTTATTTTTGTGTGCAAATAATAATAATAATAATAATAATTGTTTATTGCTACCATCATAGAAAAGTTTGGTATTGCGGATGCATCAAAGCCAACACGTGGCTTGTGCGACGCCATCCTCCAATAAAAAAAAAAACGATATGTAGCATGGGTAGTTACTCAAAATACAATATATAAAACAGACAAAAAAAATGTAAACATAATTCCATGAAATTAGTCACTCTAGTTATAACTTGAAGATTTTACGCGAAAAGATATTATGTACAGACTAAAACGGAAACCAATAGCAATGCCAAAGCAAAATGAAATACCACAAAACTGGAAAATATGCACAAAAAAAAAAAAAAAATCACGGAAGGTCTTCTGTTAAAATGTCCTACAAACAGCAGAATATTCAATAATGTTCCAGAAAGGCAGGCGCTTAAAATTGGCACACATTACTTAGCAAAATGAGTCTGCGATAGTTTGCTACTAAAACGAAACCAATAGTTCGCTATTAAAACGAAATACCTCTAAGCATCTTTTTAACTTTGCCCAGGGATGTTTGGTTTAGACGTTCAGGTGGTAAGTGAGAAAAAATATATGGCACATAAAACGCACGCGTACTTTCGCCATAACGAGTGCGGGAAAAAGGTATGTGAAAAGGGTGAGTATGTCGAAGATCACGTGTGGGTGGGCTTAAGATTTTGAAATCAAAATTCCAAAAGTGCCGCAATACCACTGAATGAACATAAAGGGTTTGGAAGTTGGGTAGTTGCAAATATTCGAAAAGATTAGCGTTGTCAGGTATTTTAAGTTTATAAGAGATACTTTTCAGGATAGCTTTCAGGATGCAGTCCACCTTGGTTTTCCAATAGTCAGAGGAATGGCCGAAAACGGTGATCGAGTAGCGAAGGACGCTATATGCAAGCGGATGGGCAATCATTCTTCGAACAGATACAAGAAAAAAATGTTTTGTATTATATAATAGGCAACTAATGCTTCTCAGTTTTTTACAGATGTATGTAAAATGAACATTCCATTTCAGACCACTATCAAAATATATGCCTAGATACTTCACGCTATCTGTATACTCAACCGGAATGCAGTTGCATTGATGGCAGAAAGAAGAGTGCAGAACTAATGGAATGTTGAGAGTGACTGTTTTGTGTGGATTATTGAAGCATACTAGTTTTGTCTTTTTAACATTAATATCAAAAAGGTTTTTTTTGAACCAGTCCATAATTGCTATTGCTTGAGATTGCAACTGGCTGATGGAATTGGTATAGTTGATGTGTTGGGTCATAATAATAATAATAATAATAATAGTAATAATAATATGCTTTGTTACTCAAATCGAGAACGGTAATTTGTGGAAACTTCCACGAGGAGGACCTGGTACCTGCCCCAAAGTATTTACATGAAAGGTGACCCCCGCATTTTAGGCTGGGGAGGCTCTTTAATGGAAAGCGCCTCTCTGACAAAAGCAAAAGCACCCGTCTAGGTGTTTCTAAAACACCTAGACGGGTGTCTAGGTTGTTTTAGCCGATTGATTTAATGCAACATTACGAAGTTGGAAACTTATTTGTTTTCGCAACGTTGCAAACATCTGTTGGAAACCTGTTACTATGGAAGCGGAATGAGAGCTCGGTGATCGCACGCTGGCGTTCTCTTTTTCTAAGGTCCTTGCAGGGGCGGAAGTTGGATGTTAGAAACACGTGGTGTGCGAAAGCCTCCAGAGTAGAGATGTCGCGAACCGGGCGAGGTTCGAGTTCCAACAGGTTCGAATTTTTCTAACTTCTTGCGAAAAGTGCGACGAGGGTTCGACTCAGGTTTGACTGCTATATGCGCATGCGCATGCGCGACAGGCTGTCCAGTTGGCTTCGGATTGGATCGTGATGGCTTAGGGTTGAGTTAAGGGTAGTACTGATTGGTTATTTCAGTTAATACAGTGCAAAAAAAAATTATTTATTAACTTCCTCAGTCATTAGATTTAGTTTATTTTAATTGCGACTGTTCATAAAACAAAAATAATCCGTTGCGTCAAAAGAAAAAAAAAAATTCTGCAAACCTGGATGGTTGTATTAAGGTTATCCACACTGTCCGCAAAGTCGAACCGTTCGAATCTGGTTAAAAGTTCGAAAGTTCGTCGACCCAGTCAAACCCCGAATGGTCGACCTAAAAATCCGGTTTGACAAAAGTTCGCGACATCCCTACTTCAGAGCATGTAAGCCAAGGTCCCCTTTTACGCTTCTTTCGAAGGACAGACCCGCAGCCTCGCAGCACCGAGTAGTCCGAAAACACAACCTCCCGCGTGTAATAAACAGTTTCAACATAAAGGAAGCCGCATTGGTTGCCCGGTGGTAAGTTGAAAACCATTCCTTTTACAATGACGAGAATTCTGAGATTGATGGCGATGCGCATAACAGATTTAGCTACCTATAGCTGTCGCGAGTTTCTCACTGCACCACCCAGACACAAGCCAGCGCTTCCGAAAGGCTTCGCACTTTGCCCACCGAGTTATTTTATAGAAAGTTGTAACACGCAGTAGTTCGTACGAAGATTCCAATTTTGCAAAACTACAAATTAAATATATATATATATATATATATATGTGTGTGTGTGTGTGTGTGTGTGTGTGTGTGTGTGTGTGTGTGTGTGTGTGTGTGTGTGTGTGTGTGTGTTTTTAAATATAGAACAGGCCGAGAAATATTGCTTGTTTTTAGAAATTCTTTGCGTCATTATGCGATACTTTCAGTAGTATGCGAAGTTCAGTAAAAGTTTGGTGACCACGAAAACCAAACAGTAGGTAGTAAACTCGCAAGTTCATCTGTTCTTCCCAACTTAGCACATTGTTAATCAAGCTTTCGACCTAGCTCTTCACGCACATGTATCAGTCTCTTCACTAGCTTATTTTTCTAGAAACTAGTGTCATCGGGTACGACCGTAGACGATGGTGATCTTCCCAGTACATCAGTTCAGTCGTCTCGCCGTCGACCATAATCAAATGCCAAAAATGTTCGTAAAAAAAAAAAAAATTAGGTTTGAAATTATTTTGTAGCCACAGTACCACTGTTTCAATGGTCGATACCGCTCCGACCGTTGCAATGGTACTGTGTCCTTTTTGAGGACACAGCACCACTGTTTCAATGGTTGTTGGCTACAAAAAACACATTTGTATCACAGAGTTAAGCTTAAACGACATAAAACATCAACACAGCCGCGTGCACGTTGAAACCGAAACCAACCTACTCGATGCAACCTAATGGCGGCGAGTGCGTCAGCGCCCTCTATGCAGGCAACTACTGAGATAAAAAAAGTCTATACAACCGATTCTGTGCATACCGTTCCCAGGATTCCTTTCGGCGCCACGGACGACGCAGTGTGCTTTGCAACAGGTTTATTGATTCGACGGTTGTGTAAAGTGAACGCTGTGCACTAGAGCACCTGTGTCCTAAAAATTCAGCGTGGCCAGAGAAAGACCGACCTGTGTCACGCGTCTGTAGCAGCGACAAGCACGGGTACGTCGTCAAAAGCGAAGAAACGGGATATAACAGAACCGTTATTTACACGCTGAAATCTTTCCAATTCAGATCGCAGCGAGGAGTACCGAAGTGATTCTGCACGCGGACCCCGACGCCATGCGAAAGAAGGTGTACAGGGACGTCGGAGGTCTGTACCTCAGCCCCGGGTTCCACGAAGCCTGCGTTCGCTCGGCACTGAGTTACAAGCCCCTGCCCGGAGACGTGTTCATCGTCAGCTACCCCAAGTGCGGCACGACCTGGATGCAGCACATCGTGTACAACATTCTTAACGGTCACCCTCCCCCGTCGAGCATGATGGACTGCTCCGAGCAGATGCCCTTCTTGGAGTTCCAGGGAGCCGAGTCAGCCTGGAAGATGCCCCGGCCGGGAGCCATCAAGACGCACATGCCGTTCCACCTGCACCCCTTCTCCACAAGCGCCAAGTACTTTTACATCTGCAGGAACCCGTACGACTGCTGCGTGTCCTTCTACCACCACACCAGGCGTGTTCCTGAGTACGACTTTCAGGACGGCACGTTCGACGAGTTCTTCGAGATGTTCGTGAACGGAAAGGCGGACTTCGGCGACTATTTCGACCACTTGATGTCCTGGTATGCACATAGGAACGACCCCAATGTCCTCTTCTTGACGTACGAGGCACTCAAGAAGGACACTGCAACCTGGGTTCTTAAGATAGCCAGTTTTCTCGGCGAGGAGTACGGCGACAAACTTCGAGGGGACCTCGAGTCGTTGAACGGCATCTTGAAGAAGACCCGCTTCGAAAGCATGAAGAGGAATGTGGACGAGGCTACGAAGTCCTTCTACCAGGAAATCGAGTCGACCCCGGACAATAAAAAGCCATTATGGGCGAGACTCGTCAAGGACGCTATTGGTGAGAGCACGATGCAGAAGCCCAAGACTGGTGACTTTATGCGCCGAGGAGTGATCGGTGATTGGAAGAACCACTTTTCCCTTCAGCACGTCAAACGACTCAAGGAGCGCATTGTAGCAAAGACCGGCGGAACTGACATCATGGACTTGTGGAGGGACATAGACCTGCCGTAAAGGCATACTGTTTTGTTGTTGTTTTTTGCTCGGATCTATTGAAGAATGTACTTGTAGTTATTGTACCGTTATGTCCCTTATAGTGGTGGCTTGAGATCATCAATCCGGCCCGGTTTTCGTGCTCCTTCTACGTGCGACACCAGTTCACTTTGAGGAAGACAAGCGTAATTAGAAGTTAAGTCGCAAATAAGGAAATGCAATGTACATCATGCACTCTCGGCTTTAAAAGCCGCAGCTTATTTATAGGACTGAGTCGCTTGCTGTTTTAACTCGATATTAAAAAAAAAAATGGTTTCATTGTTCAATAAAATTTGCGAAACTTCGTTATCTGGTTCTTATTTTTAATTGTTATTTCTTTTTAAACATTTTCCCAGTTTGTTTTAGAGCTTATGCCGCTGCAAATTATGTACAAAAGCGACGTCAAACTTTACAAAACACAAGCGCCATGCGTTTTCATTTCTCTTCATCGAGGTCGCATAACGTTTGTGAAAGTACAACAGCTGTGGCCGCTTGATCTAAATACCGGGAACCAATGCATGGTGTGTCCTCATTTTACGAGCTTACAAAAATAGTCAACTGGCATTGTGGGTGTGTGGATAAAGCGTACTTGGACTTTTCTATAAATAATCAAATAATTATAAGTCCTAGTTTCTTAGTTGAAACGCGATTGAGTTGTAAATAAAGTGTCATCATTACAAATATGGTAAGTCACCTGGACGTTGTGCATGACGCAACAGGCGGGGGAATGAGCCCCTATGGTAGCGGCCCTGGTAGCGAATTGCCAAACTTTGCCCAGTCCAGTATGGCTACGTCCATCTGCAAGGCTCAAAGGTCAAACGACAAGCCAACGCCCGGAGTGCAATAGTACTTGGTGCTCAGAGATCCATAGAACCACCCGAAGGACCCGGTGGTGCGCAAGCATTTTATATCGTTGAGTTGCTCGTAGCCCGAGAATATATAGTGACGACCGAAACGATGGCTGCAACTACACCTCTTTCTCTACACTTGGCAGACAACTTTGTGTGACAGTGAAGTCAAAGCTGACACCAGAGCGTTCGTGCACACGTATCGTCGATCAAAGCTGTACAGACGCGCTCGTCATTTCTTCTAAAACTCCACAGAAAGCCGTCGCCAAGTTTTCAAGATAGCGTTCGAATAGATCGAGCGCCAGAGTCGAGCCTTTTTTGTTTTTTTGCCGAGACGCCCCAATGTTTCTGGCGGCGTTCAACATGCAGGTGCAACTGTTTCGGCGGCGGCAGTTTTGTTTTCGCAGCTGTCCTGGCACGCGCCAACGGGAAACTGAAGGAGGTCGAGGCAGAGGTACGGGAACTTGCTTTTACATATGGGCCACTCTGCATTGCGCTTCGTGCCTGAGGTCGTGGGGCGTTTTGTAGTTTGTTCCATGCTCTACCACGCCTTTCGGGTTTCCTGAACGCGCAGGAGGCAAGTCGTTGCCTTTATACATGGCTTGCACTGAAGTCACATCACTGACATTGTAAAGAACCTTGCTGATGCACGTACCTTTTGCAGCACCACCGATTTTTTTTTTGCAGCACCACCGATGTTCTTTTTTTTTTTCAAGGCAAGAGCAAGTAGGAATGACCACTGGTGCATGTTGATGACGTCACGTACAAGCCATGTATCCCGAAGCTTAAAGGAGCTGTGCCACAATTTTAGTGCTTCGCTTAAATAAATTGGGAGTTGTGTCTCGACCTTTCCGAAGTAAGGAACAAAAAACCGCCTTTACCTGCATGTCCTAGTTTTACTTTAAAAAATTGAGAAAGATTGAGGTTTTCGGCAACTCTGGACTCCTTCACCATCTTCCGAGTCACGTGCGCTGTGACGTGAAAGGGTGACGCGCGGGGTTCCGGTGAAGCTCTCTCTCCAGAGCCATCAGTAAGCAGCGAGACCCGCTCGCGACCACGTGACCACGTGCTTGCGCAGTTGGATCAACATGGCGAAAGGAGGAAAGTCTCGTCCGAGTCCAGCCATCCTCGTCCGGCTTTGCCCCCCGTCCCCCTCCAGCTTCTGGCGGCGGTTCACGGTAGCAGATAGAGCTGACGGTTTTGTTGACGTCGGATAGATGGCGCCACTAAACCTCTGTATAGTAAAAGACTTGTCGATAATACCAGGTTTTTGACGCCTTTATATTTATGTTGGAACGACACGATTTATAGAAAAAATTACCTTTTATCGAGCAGGTATTTGAACAAATTCCGACTTTTACAAGTCCCCCATTGACGTCACACCGCGTGGTTCTCATGGCCGCCGCTCGCGGCTGCAGGTCGGGAAATATTCTAATTTTTGACTCGCGATTACGCGGTGGAATCGCAAGATTTCGAAGGAAGGATATGTGTTTTCTGTCCTTTATGACAAGATGAACGATCTCAAAAGCAGAAGATGCAAATTCTTTCAACCTTAAAATCGTTGCATAGCTCCTTTAAGCTCCTTAATGTAGACGTCGAATAGAATCGTAATGAAATATCGCTCACTCGTACGCATACAAACTTTCGCGAACGAGAACTGTAACGAAAAGTTTGCGGATACATCGATTTAGACCCGTAAGTAGAAGTTACGACAATCAAACTTGTCACGGATGAGGTAGAGGAGACGGCCTTGCACTCTCTGAAGTTTCTACGCGGGTGTACACAGCACACCTTTCTCGCGCCTGTTTAGCTTAGGGTGCCTTCATGTGCGCTTCGCATAGTAGATGCCAACTGCCTGTTTCCCTTTCCCACACCCTCTTCCACCGCCATTTTGTTCCTCTCATTGTTTCCCCGTGCGCCGGAAAGTGGCATTTGTATCCATCGGTCCTCCCATCCAAGGGGGAAAATGCTAATCCTCCCTCCGTGGGTTCCACAACGCTGCTCCGAACTTGTGAGATAAGGCGCTCGTTTCCGGGAGGGTTATGAGCCCCACAGATTATCGCCGAGAACCAAAATGACTGCTGGTTTGTCGACGAGTGGTATTACAAAGGGTAACGTCACCCTAGCAAAGCGCACATCAAATACTAACGTAAAGTATTTGACGCGCATGAAGGCTCCCTGGTTTAGCTTTTCTCCTCAACTCATAAATCGCGTATTTGACCAAACAGTTCAAGAAGACGAAAAGAGGGGAGTCCCCTCTTGCTCGGATTCTCGTTTGTGTACCCGGACAGAGCCATTGCCCCCCTAGAAGATTAGCCCGTCGCTCAAAATTCAGACAAAAGTTGCTTTCCCCACCCCGTTCACCCCTAAGCTGACAGTGCTGTGGAAGCTACGTTCTCGTTGGGCCAGCCACACTTTTGCCACGTGATCACGCTCTTTCGCGCATACCCACGCGCAGAGAATGAAGTCAGGTGATGAAAGGGAGGCGGCTGATTGGTCGGGCAAGCGCGTAGCTTCGACCGGAATAAGGGAGGTCCGGTATCGTGTGACGTGCGTTTGGAACCGGTGACGAGCTTTGGGAACCGCGGATGTATCACAGTGAAAAGGCAGAGACCCTACGAAGGAGAGGAGGTATGAAATAGCCCGCTTTGTTTTCAGATTTTCGCACTGAAATTCAGGCTTTTGACTTTCTACCTTTTTTCTTTTGGCCCACTGAACGATGTGCTATTAGTAAAATCCCAATCTAAAGTGATTTATACCAGCCCAAAATTCGTTTCATAGGTCCTAATTTGTTCAGCCATTGAGGAGGACGATCGGCATCAACACGCTCCAATGATCGCGGTGTCCCGGTGCAAAAAAGACGTCTTCCCCTTTGGCCAGTGAGATCGCATGATCATCGGAGTAATGATACCGATCACCCTTCTCACCCGCTCAACTGATTAAACAAATATCAATGATGAGTGTTTGCAACGCACTGTTGGGTGGATAGAAAATATAGACAGTTGTTAGTGTGCTCTCCAGTTCAGTCTATATGTCCAGTTTTTCTAGTATCAATGCCGTTTTACGCACCCAACAGCCGCGCAGTTTAATCAATAAAGCGCCTTTATTTTGAGGTTGTTAGCTTTCCGTCCGAGTGAATTCCGTGCCTTCGCACCGAATACTCCACTCCGGTCTCAGGAGCCTGGTTCGTCTCTTCACGCATTTCCGTTCTCGCAGTCGATCGAGAGGCTTGCGATGAAGGCGATCTGGTCCTGGTTCGCCGCTGCCTGGATGTACGCGTCTCTCTGGGCCCTTGGCCAAGACTCTTTGTAGGTCAGGTAGTTGTACACTGAGAAGAGAAATCAACCGCATTGATCCAGCTAGAAAACAAGGCCTGCACATGACGTCATCGATAGTGGTTCCCCGACGCGCCCCGCTAATGCTGCGACGAGAGTCGCCGCAACGGCGCGTCCATCTTGGCGATGCGAGCACGCGTCCAATAGCGAGTTTTAGTAGACCGTGTTTCCCGCTCCGCTAAGCCCCTCCGCTACCCGGAACTCTACAGCCAAGGCCATCGGCGCGCAGGCGCAGTGGCGGTTTCCTCGTAGCGGAAGGCTAGCGGAGCGGGAAACACGATCTACTAAAACTCCCTAATAGCACCGCGATCGCTGAGGGACTCTGCGAGATTCGCTGACGGTGACGCTGACGAAAGCTAAGCGCTTCTGCGTGGACCCACTACCCTCGTTTTCTGGCTGGTATCGATGCCTCCTCGTGATACAAAGATCAGTGATATGATACGACGCCAGTCTGCTCTACTGGTTCGGGAGAAGAAAAAAACAGTTTTTCGGTCGGCGGAAATAAGCTACACACCGCAGGAAGTTCGTAGCATTACGCTATGTTGTTGAGATAGTTTGAGAGCATAGGGTTTTCGCAATCAGAGATCGATGAAGGAAAATAAATTGCCAACGACCACACAAAGTGTGTTGCGATTGACATGTCGGTATAGCTGCTGCGTTGTTGAGAGATGTATACTTTAGGAGATTCGCGTTTAGTCGATGTGGTTTAAGGAATTTGCCTTCGGAGCTTTTCTCTTAGTAGAATAGTTGTGTGAGATATGTGAAAGGCGCGCTACCTCTCGTGCGTGATAAGTCGGGTCATAGCCTCCTCTATACACTCCGTGCGACGCGACCGGCGCGCCGCCGCGCGGCCGGTACCGAAGGTAGGTCGTGAGAACCCCAGAGGAAGCGAAACCGAAACCACGCCGCGTACATTGGTACGCACTGTAGTCGGAGTGGTGCGGTTGCGCTGCCATCCCGCACTCGCGGGTATGCAGTGCCAATTTCGTTGGAGAAATGCCCTCCAAAGAAGTTTCGTCCCCATTGTACGCGTCGATGATATTTCCGGACAAGTATGACACGCAATCTGTACTTCATGAAGAAAGATTCGAACGGTAAAAAGGTGACAAATATAAATCTAAAGAAAACAACAATGAAACTCGGAATCACTGGAGAATCGACGTTTGTGTATGGAAGTTTATGTGGTGTGCTTTCTTTTTGGATCAGCCTCCTTTTGGATGTGGAAACGCTGACACACCGAGTTCTGTAGACAACATTTTTTTTTCTCGGCTTTAGAGCCACCTATCGTAAAGTGGTTCGAACTGGAAGTGCTGTCAACTGGTCCCTTCCTACCTGTAAAGTGTGCACCTCCCACAATGAGTGGTATTATCTGACAGCCTTTGACGGTCAAAGCCAGTTCCCATTTAGTTACGCCGACCAAACCAAATTTCCTCCTAGTTTCGCTATGCCGACTCTTTTTGTTATAATAAGTGCCGTGCCAAGTGACGGTCATGTCAATGTACCTCTGCGCCGAAAATCAGCACCTTGCACAACAGGTTATTACGCAACAGCTGACTGCAAAAGCCCTTGGCGGCCAAACCATGTGTTGGCCGACAACTTTGTTTTCTCGGCTTTGGAACCACCTTTCATAAAGTTGTTTCAATAGGAAGTACAGTCCACTAGTCCCTTCCTACCTTTAAAGTCTCCACCTCCCCCGACCAGTGGTATTCTCTTGACAGCCTTTTCATGGTCAAAACCGGTTCCCATTGAGTTACGCCGCCCAAACCAAATTTTCACCTGGTTTCCCAATGCCACCTTTTTCTTTTGTATAATAAGTGCTGTGTCATGTTACCGTCAAGTCCAAGCACTTGTATGCCCAAATCTGCACTTTTCACAGCCCGCTATAACACAACATTTTGGGTCCAATATTGGATATCCCGTACAGCTTTATTTCTTTATTCGTTAGAAACATAACTTTCCCACCTGTTGTCTTAAAGAAACTTGGCACTCTTCGTGCACAAACTTAGTGAACATCTCACTCGCCTCCAAATAGTATCATTCTAGCAGTCCTAGGTTTACAGCGACGAGCGAAATAAATTTCCCACTCAGAGCAATTATGGTGGCGGCCGTCTTGTTTTTCGGAAAATTGCTCCAACTCCTTTTTCGGCCGCAACTAGAGGAATTACCCCTAATAACGACTCAAACTAAATATATAAGAAGTAGAGAACAGCTAAATGCCCTTCTGCCCCAGCACTCATGCAACGTCACCCTCAACGTATCGGCTCAAAAAGCAAGTTTCGTCCGTGCGCGCTTTCGCCGCCACAGCTTGGCATGCAAAAAGACGCCGCAGGCTGCTGAACGCGCCTCGCAGTCGAACGCCAGCTCCTCCGCTAGCGGCGCTGCGCGCGTTTTTCAAAGCGCCCCCTATAGTTCCCGCACGGAGTGTATACTGACAAAGACTGGCAGATGGTAGCTGGGGCAAAAAGCTGCACGTGTGGCAGCTTTTTGCCCCAGCTACTATCTCTTCTGGTGCAAACAAAAAAAAAAAGATAAATAAAATGATTCATTGAAGATAGATCGCCACAAGACGCGGCCGCCGAAAGTGAAAAGGTAGAGCGGCAGACAAGAGTCATGTAACGGACGACCCGCTGCGGCGAGACGCCGAAACACATTTGTCCAGAGCGATGGAATGTCCGCTCGTGCTTCTCGCGTTCCTCGGGCTACCGCTTCGGGTTTGAAAACCATGTTTCGGGTCCTCGCCGCTGCAAAAGCTGTGCGCTGACTACCATGCAGACTCCCCGAGTAATGCTCTGCGCTACCAGATCCTCGCGTTCCAAATCTGCGACCGGGAGCATATATGGCTCCGTCATCGAACTGCCAGGCTTTGTGACTATAGAGGAGGCTATGGTCGGGTCCTTTGCTGTTCTCGTGCCACTGCGGCTTTCGTTTCCTCTTCTAAGCGCGCTCGCCAATTCGTGCCTTTTTTGAAGATGCGCTGGAGAACTTTCCAGAATGCCGAAGCGGTGGCGAGAGGAGAGGGGGCAACAAGTTTGAACATTGTAAGCAGGGGACATATGAGCTGCAGTTGCCTGGACACATGAGCGATGAAAACGGGCGTATCCATAGCAACCGGTGCAGGCGTCCCTACTTCATCGTGACATATGCACCTCGTGGGGCGGCGCCGCTCCGACAGGAGCTGCCACAGTTGATGAAGGAGTTAACATGAGGGGTGTAGGAAGAATGCCTGATAATTATTGCATTCGGAGTGACTTCCTTGGCATAAAGTCAATAAAAAATCTCCTTGTACCTTGATACGAAAGCGGTAAGTGTCTCCTGAAAACTGGTCGCGAGTCATACAAGCGATTTGCTCCTTTTCTGTTTAATCTGGGCATCTATGTCTAGAACTTCGCAACGAGCTTCAGGGGTCCGTACACGTTCTGCGAAATGTTTTCTTCAGGACTGACACGCCGTGCGCGTCCAGTTGTCTTGGCGAAGTTGGACACGTTGCGTTTGAATTTTTAAATGTATGTCTATACAGTCTACACATTTATTAATTGAAAATATTTGGATATGTTTTTATATTTTTATTTTTTATTTCGGCTTGATCGGGCAGAAAAGAGCAAGCAAACACGGCGTTTCTAGTGTTGTGAACATACTTTTCCCAGTAATCTTTTCTTCGACATTATTACTTTAATAGTAATACAATGGTAGCACAAGAACGTATGACTTTTCTGCACCGGTGCAGGAGGTACAATTAATCGAACGAGCTATAGTATTGTGCTCTGATGGTCATTAGGTCTCAATGACAGGACCACAGTTTTGTTAGTTCCTCTTCGTCCGTCGTATTTTTCGCGCTGTTTCCATACAAGTAGAAAGGCTTAGACTTTTCCGCTGAAACTGCCTGGACGCCTATTCGCCCTTTTTCGTTTGGCTACAAACTCGGTGGCGCCATCTAGTGTGTATCTCGTCACACTTCCGGTTCACGTATCTTTCCTATTTTTTAACTTCTCATTCTTTTATCATAAGAGTGAGTTAAGACTGACAGTGCTATAAGTGGCCATTTCCAGAAGAGAGCGCGTATATTTGATTTCGAAAACACCTCAAAAGCCGGTCGTCTAGCTCCGAACCGGAAGTAGTTGGAGGCTATTCACACACTGGCGCCACCACGTTTCAACTCACGCGAAAAAGAGCGAATATCGCCTTCCTTATTGGCTGAATTTGTTAAAGGTTGATGGCAACCGTCCCGCCTAAACGCTTTTGATTATTAAGGGGCTCACCCGTTCCATTGGCGTAGCACTCTGCTTGGACGAGGTAATTGCAGTTGTCCGTGTCCACGATCAGCGACTTGGTCATCGCTACGTGTCGGGAAAGGGAAACAGCCCACACGTCAAAAACAAATAAAGAAACAACTAGCAAAATAAACAAACAAGCAAATCAATGAGTCAGTAAGCTAACACGTCCTCATACGTTTTGATGGTGTTAATATTACTTCGACGTTTCCAGCGGGCATGCCTCTTCATCTCCCTAATGAAGAATTTTAAGCCATCCTTGTCTTCTGGCAGTTGAAATGACTTACGCAGTGACACAAATAAATGTAACTGTTTAGAGTGTCGTTTTATTTTCTTGGAGTACCTAAACAAAGCACGTTTCCAGGGATCAAGGCTTATCAAGCTATGCACGATTACCCCTCCGTGGCGCGTGAAGGCCATTTTCGCCAGCTTGCAGTTGCACGCACCTGCCGACACCAGCGGCACGCGCTGGGGAATTGAAAGCTCTGCATATGACGTCACGTTCACCTCTTGGTTTTCGGTTTTTCTCGCGTTCAGTAGTAGCAAAGTCATTGTAATAGGTTCGAAAGAAATAGTTTTCATATTGTAAATTGCGCTACACTCTGTTCACCCTTGATCTGAGACTGCATCCAAAGCTACAAGCGCGAGCTGGCCCGCGCTCCTGGCCTTGAGACATGCACTTGTAGCACGAGCGCTCGTTCCGCGGAAGAACGCTTCGAAGCAGCGACCTCGAGCTCTCGTGCTTGTGGCATTGGCTGCAGTCTCAGCTTAGAGGGGTACTCCGGCGATTTCTTGAGCTACCCCAACTGGCTATACTTTCGGAATCACCGGCCTTCGCCCTTTCCGATATGCTATTTCGTATAGCGAAATACAGAATAGTCATTGTGAAATCGGCGATTGAAAATGATGCCAAAACCAATATTCAAATATACCCGCGCTTTTCAGTGTCCTGAAGTCAGGGGAAGGCAGGCCTGCAGGGTTGAGCGTACAGTCTAAAAATAGACTATGCCGAGCATTTGTTTCGGGCTGCTACGCGGTTGCTGGAGCGAGTTTCCAAAGAATTTATTTCACACCATGAAACTGCTTATAATCAGTTAGGAACAAAGTCTATAGCGCAAAAAGTGAACCCATGCCTTCCCCTGACGTCACCTTTTATTGTTGCCAGTAGACGTTTCCACTTAGAAAAATGCGGACAGGAGCAAAATCGTAAATTCAATAACTTCTCGAAAAAAATTATTTTTCCCCAATATTTGCGGTACTCTTTCAGCTGTGTGTGTTTGTGTGCTTACCAAATTTTCAAGCAAATAGAGGACTATAAAAAAAACAAAACAAAAAACGCCGGAGTATCCAAGATAGAATGGACCATCGTATCGTTTTTCTAGGAGCACTTTTCTCTTAAGGGCGTGTGCTCGTTAAACTCAAGCAGGTTTCTAAGCCGCGATTTGGCGCCTGTAGTCTTCGCTGTACTGAGACACATAGACATCGACGCATAAACTGAGACCTTTAAGCGCGAATCTGTCCATCCGAGCTGGACATCGGAACTCAAACCCTGAAGAGACTCACCGCAGCCGCCGAGGTCCCTTGAGAGTGCGTTTGGGTTAGCAGACCCGCCGCGGGAGTGGTAGACATAGCTGAAAGGGCCGGCAATGGAATTAGTACAACCCTGGAATGAAAAGAGCCACTTCTCGCCCTGAAAGGATAATAACAATATCGCAACGTATGCGCTCAGCAACCCCGAATGTATGCTGACGAGCTATACTCTACATTCGTCTTTCTTTTATGGGTTCAGTTGCCGAAAAGGAACATCGATATGTTGCTACTGGAGCGAGGCGGTCGCAGTGGGAGAGATGTTCGCCCTTTGGCCACTGAGGAACCATAGGAGCATGATAACGTTCGCTCTTTTGATAGACTGAATTGACCATTTTTCGCTGCACGAGGAGGCGCTGTCGTGCAGTACAGACTCGTGCACCCCTGACAGTCCAGAGGGTCCTAAGTACTAGTTACGAGTAGAGGTCGCACGTCTACGGTATAAACGCGATGTACCGTGCATTAACTAGTATGGGCATTATTAAAGGTTCACAAACTTCTGATAAGCGACGATGCGAAGTGTTTGAACCCCGATACAGAAAATGTGGCAGACGTTTCGGATATGTCCGCGATGTTGCCACAGACGACCGGTGCCGGGTTCGTTACGACATAACGCGTTAGGGGGGGGGGGGGGGGGGGGAGGGGGGGGGTGCTATTCTATTTTTCAAATATCAGAGCGGTTCTTGTGCGCTCGTAAAGACGTACGGTGTTCTTGAACAGATTCCTCCAGTGTCAAACTTGAAGCACATGTAATTCCCATCTTTGTCCTGGTCAACGGCGTCCAGCAGGCAGTACGGTTCGGAGCCCGGTATATCCCAGATGGAATAGGCCATGGAATTGCCACCACATCTCAGGAGCTGCGACGCGAAAAAACGGCAGCATTCCCTCATTTCGCGTCTCTCCTGTCAGCGTTCAATATCTCGCTAAGCCCCTGTCACACCGTTCCTCATACATCATCTCTCTTGACATACCATCTCATACCTCCTCTTGTAGATATCATCTCATAATCACCATCACTAGACGTGGCACCGCGGGCCTCTATGGTACCGGCTGTCTGTCGCCTTTCCACGGTGCCACGGCTCTCCTGAGCCAATAAAGATTAATATTCATATTATTATTACTATCATACGAAAGACGCGCTGTTCACTGCGGACATGATGAGAGAATTATCTCAAAGATGTTCGAGCTTCATACATATGCTTAGAACACGTCTGCAGACAGTTTGTTATCACCAATGTGACCAACAGTGTCTGTAGACTGCATGATGTCTAACCAGTGTGACCGCATATTGTGTGATATGGGCAGCTGATTTGACAAAACGCGAAGCTTGAGTAATGGACACTTCGCTGCCTGCCTAACCGTCGTGGTTCGTCAAGCTTAGTCGGTTGTCCACATTAACAAACAATACGCATAACGCAAAAAAAAATATGTAAACTTCTTTGTAGTCATTCGTTGTTTAGAAATATCAATGAACTACTAATACGCTTTAAGAAAAAAGGGAGCGGCGTTTAGTCCCTCCGGGGACAAAATGCGCCGTCACCGCCATTAGTCCCCCGTGGGACTAACGGGGAGGGGAGCAACTTTTGCACCCCTCCCGCTAGTCCCTTAAAGCCCTGAACCCATGGACTAACTTTTGCACCCTTATATTTAGGCTACGAGGACTAAACGTTGCGCCTTATTAACAAAAATTTCGCCCTTGCAGACCCAGGTGGCGCTAGTCAACATCAAATTCAAAATTGGCAAAGAAGTTATTATCGCTAGGATAGATTTTTTTTTCACGCTAATTACAATCAGATTTGGACAGCGCTTATTTCACATGAATATACATTTAACATAGACAAGGAATTAGAACACTGATGACAGACATGCACAACACAACAGCGATCACACGAATACAGTCTTTTTTTTTCTTTCTTTATTGTCACAGTGATTCAATCTCTGCCCTCAAAGGCTACCCATGCGCCGTTTATACTGATCATTTGAAAGAAGTCGTTTGGTCAGTGACCACCTCGTCCGTGAACAATGTTACAAATGTGGTGCTGCTTTCGCAACAATATTGATCTCCAATATTGTTGCTAAACATCCCAAGAAATGTATCTCTTACTAAGAAGTAACGGTACATGCAGTAATTATTTGCGGGACTATAAAACTTCGTCCCCATAGTTTCTCAGCAGCCATGTTCTCGCTTCCCCGCATAGACTGCCCCATTTTGCGCATACTTGTCTCTGTTGTGCAACCGCATCGTCTCTTGCGAAAGAAACGTATTTTAAAGAATACAAAAATTAAAAAAAAAAAAGCTTTCTTGTCTGGAAACGTTTTTAGCACGTACTACGTGGCTATTTTCATCCCAGCTAAAACCCAAAGGAAAATATAAACGCTTCCAAAGAATGCGAAGAAGAAGGACGTCAGGATAGAGATTGAAAGTCGCACGGCCAGTGCATGATGGCCACGCTCGCGGTTTGCGCTAGCGTCCACGACGTGCTAGAACATAGGCTGCGATCGTTATAAAGTCAGCTCCAACCCTTAAAGGGGCCCAGAAATCCTATTTAAGCGTCTACCTATTTTGCGGTTTCCACATCTCTTGTGGTTCGGGCAACCCTGCGGGCACAGAGAGAGTAACTAAATATGAGTGCGTCATAATTGAACCGGACGACGCGGAAGCCTCCTCCAGCTACGGAGGCCCCCCGTGGTACCGAACGCGCGCAGCATGTGACGACATCTGTGGCGTTGTCGGTCCTGGCAAGCTCCTGCATTACGACTGGACAGAACCGCTAAAAGCGTTTTACAGCGGAGCTGTTAAGGGCTAGTTTCTCAACGATCGTGTCCGTCAGCAAACGAACGATGGCACAAAACTCTGGACAGCTACCGCCGTCGCTCATAGATGGCAGCAACCTTTCCAGTGTTTCCACTCCGGCTTGCCGACTTGCTCCCACCAAAGTACAGCTTCCTCACCAGAGTGGAAAGGCTGTTTTTAATCGAAATACAAAATATAAGTGGAGCGAACTGTTTCAATTATTTATGAAAGTAGTTTTTGTTCAGTATTTTAGATCAGGAAAGAAACAAATACAGTTTATTAAGTACGGAAACAAGAAATGACCCGTAGATATACCCGCCACCAAGCGGTGGAAAAGGCGGCGCATACTAGAGAGGTGTAGTGGGATCAGGCACCGACGTGCAGCCAGCGTAGAAGGTCCCGATGTACGCGGCGGCGCTGCGGTCGTATGGACTGGAGGATCTGACCGGATACGAGCATTCAGAAGGCCTTCGACGAGCAGGTTTGGCTTGCGATTTTGCCGTTTGACGGTTTGGCAGCGGGAAGCGGCCCCGTTCTGAACTGATATTTACCCTATGTTTGCTTGTCGTTTGTGGCCGATGAAGTGTTATGCCGAATTAGTGTTTAGTCGCGCAGCAAATGCAATGCGAGCCGCCCTGGCTGCCCGCTTCATCCAGCCTATCCGGCACATGCTTTAGTGGCGCCCTCTCGAGCCGTCGACACGGAGTGCGGCAGCCGTGTGCGCTCGCCGAGCTCAATACCCCTCCTCTAGATCACGGCTCCCAAACATGCCGCCGATAGTCCTTTGAGACTTTTTTTCTTAGAGTGAATGATTACTCTGGTGCTGTGAGCTAAATGTCCCACTCTTTCTGGACTACGAATTTTTGACTCAATATTTATTTCTTGGCTAAAATATTTATATATTTGTTTATACTAAACATTGGGCAATGGCGTACAAACATCTATTTAATACAAAACGATTAGTCCACTTTTATTCTACCTTTTCCGATGAACGTCGCTCGATACTCTACAGGCGCTCCAGAAACACTCGGTGTATGTGGCCAGAAACTTACGTGCGTCTTATATGTATTATCGATATTGGGAATTACGACATACCTGTTTAGCAAGAAAATAATCTTTCACGGTCTCTCCAAAAAGAAGCTCGTACCTCGCACGATAATGAGTCCTGCAGTATAATCAAAAGACTCGCTGATGATAAGCTGGAAACTGAAGCACTCTTTCTACGGAATCTCAACTTTTGAAAACAAAGGTGGCGTTCATCTAGCCCTTTCGTGTGCATTTCTTATAATAATTCGTTGAACTTGGAACAGCAATTCTTTGTTTCCCTTTAATCAGATGCGCCAGTGGAAAGGACGATCGTTATCGGGCTTGAACGGCCATCCGGTGTCTGGAGTCGAAGACGTTCACAGCGTTTCTGCAATTGAAACTACATCGCGATATCGGCACGATTCCAATCACCCTCCCCAACACAAATCGGTAGACACAGGGCAAAGTCAACGATATAACAATTTAAATGCTGCGGCTCTACCTGTTGGAGGTCGAAGTTCGCCAGGGGTTTCTCGTCGCACGGGCAACTTCCCAGAGAACCGTGTTCTCCCAGAAGGACTGCCAGGATAACAAAGCAGAGGGGGGAAGAAGACCCACACATCATGGTCTGCTAGAAAATCTACCGGCTTGTGGTCTGCAATGACTGGTGCGTAGCGAGCGCTCATATATATGCGTAGAAATGATGCACTTCGTGTAAAAGATAACTAGAAGAGAAAAAAAAAAAACTGTCATCAAGTGATGGTAAGATTAACTCACAAAAAATTACGCTTTTTTTATTTTTGTAGAGTATCGAAGTAGTTTCATAAACATGAATCTCAGTTAGGTGTTTTCAGTTTCAGAATGACGTCAAAGTCATCGCAGCTTTTAAAACAGCCCTGACAAAGTTCCAGCCATGTACGAGCTAGAGCTTGTTTTTCGCAAAATCTGGCTCAAAACGAAGTCAAAAACAGACAAAAAAAAAAGAAGGTGACATTGCTAAGACCTTCGATGCGTTGTTCTCTATTTAACCTTCACGTGAACCGCAGCGAGCAGTAATACATAAGATGAGCCAATCAGCTCGCTAGAGCGAATGACTGTCGACTCTCCATTGAGAGCGTGCACACCACCTTATGGCTTGGTGAGCCAATGGGTTGGTGAGCCAATGGGACGTCAGTTATGTGCGTAGGCCCATAGGGCGACGCTGGCACCCGCCTGTACATCAGCGTCACTCCTACTTTCGGTCCAGGGCTTCGTGAAACGTGAATCCAACAGGTGCTGACCTCATATCGCTTTCTAACATGTTTACTTCGACCTAGGTATACGACCAACAGCGACAAAGCCGTTACTGGATGTTTTTGTACAACGCGAAAACAACAACTGATTCGCGTCTATGGATGGCCTCGCCTGGCTCTTTGAAAAACAGTTAATGAGTTGTGGAGGTAGGAACAAGATAAGGATAGCTTCGCTTTTATAACATCTGGTACGCAGTAGCTTCAAAATATCTCGCACCTACTTTGTCACCGTATAGCTCGTAAATGTCCAAGCTGCTGGGTAATATACGAAACTAGGGTTTCGAGTTATAGATTTTTTTTATTATTATTATTAATTGGGTTGTCTTTAGCATTTCTTGTCATTAATAGATTCTGCTCTATTTTGTGTTTATGCTTTACTGAGAACGTAATTGGACAATTTTTGGCGCCTCTAAGAAAAAAAGTTTGTTGATTAAAAATATCAAACTGAAACAATTTGCGAGAAGTGTTGATAACAGGGACAGTCGATACAGGGAAAGGTTGATGCACAAAAATCACGGACACAAGAAAGAATGTCCGTTCCACTTGCCTTTTGTTGTGCTCGTGTTTTTGTGCGCTCCGCTTTTTGTTCTGAAACATTTCACGAACAGCTACTATTCTGAAACAATTTCGCACTGTACAGCCGACAACGACATTTTCTTTACCTGTCCCGTTCCTATACGCTGCAATATAAAACGTAAAGTAATAAACCATTTTTCTTTCACTCCACCTTGTTGTAAAAGAGGCATATTTACAAGTAGGTTCCTTAATTTATGTCACTCAGTTCGTTGCGCCCCTTTTCGTTGTATGTGTATTCGAATGGTGAAAACTTGTTGTCGACACTCGGGGAGACTCAAGACAGAAGACGAAAATATTTCTGTATTGCCTTTAATAAATACTGATGTTGGACAAGTAATAGTTCTTTAAAGGGACACTGACGGAGTATTTACGCTCGTCAGGGTTTTTATTTGTACATGACATAAGAGCACCCACCTACCCAGAACACAATTTGAGGCTCGGAATTCGTTACGCTAGTCAGGGTTTTTATTTGTACATGACATATGAGCGCCCAACTACCCAGAACACAATTTGAGGCCCAACTACCCAGAACAGAATTTGAGGCGTTCACGCAGGTGAACGCCAAAAAGAGCGAGAAAGCGCGAGATCTGTGAAAAAGTTTCCAATATTCTCGTAAACACACTTGCCTCCTCCAAGACGTTAAATTGTCCCAGCGGAGGGTCCTCACTAAATCTCCAACCTTGTTATCCCTGTAGCATGTATGCTTTCTAGCACCGGTGACATAAGCAGGTTCGACAGGCTTGCAAAGGCGGCGCGACAGGAAGTCCCTCGGAGCGCAGGAGGCACGCAGTTCATGTTTGTAAACAGCAAAAGGATCTATACTAAATGATTGACGAAAATAAAGTAAATGTACTGTACCAAAACTTTTTTTTTTTTTATATATGAAAGGCTAGTGACGTCACTCGGATGCTTGTTTTGTGCTTGTTCGGCTTTGGAACGAATGCTGACTGTACGTTGTATGCGTGATGTGCACTTTTTCCTTCAATCGCTGAAGGATTTTTGTTTTTGTGAGCACGACGACACAAAGTTCCAGAAATCCAACCTGTGAGTCATATGCAGTTTGGTTGTAAAAAAACAATCACTGAAACAATTGTGAACAATAAATGTGAGTGCGCCAAATGTCGACAATAGTGCTATAGATTGTGCGCCATTTTTCCTCCACATCATTAGCTCTCCTCTTTGAACGTATGTTGTAGTGGTCACAGCCGGCTTGAGTCAACGCTCGCCGCTCTCGAAGCTGTTTCAGCTGTAAAAGGATGCTCAGCTGTTTCATGCGATACTAGTTATCTCGGCAAACAGCTCGTGCAAAACCAGCTTGACGCGGCTGGCCTCCATTGCTGCCGTGGAGCGCCATTTCCTTTTTTTTCCTCTCCCTCGAAAACAAGAGTAAAAAATAAGTTTCTCCCGGCACGGTTTCTACAATTTACTGCGGTGCACAGATAGCTACTAATTGCAAATAAACTTTCAACCTTGAAGCTGTGAAAAAAAAAGAAAAGCTCGATCGCTGGCGCGTGGAAAGCAGCTTTGCGGCCTCCCAGGTTGTTCGTACACCTGCCCGCCGGTGACGTACACGGGTAGGGAAAAATGAGCATTTTTTCATTGTTGCCAGTAGAGATTCGGCTCCTAGAACCCACGCGGCCGGCGTGGCTTGAAAAATTAAAAACTTCAGGGAAACAATTCTTTTTTATAAGCTATTTTCGCTATCAACTGAAAAAAGGTTAATGTTGCGGTCTGCCAATTTCCAGTTACATCGAAGACTATAAAAAGAAAAATTGGCGCAGTTCCCCTTTAAAGCGATCCGTTACCTGCTTCTTCTAGAATATTGCCCGTGTAATCCGCAAAATTATTCTCCAAGGTTTCGAGGGCCTCACTGTCACGTGATAGAATGCACAACGCAAGTTTGCGCGAATCTAAATTCTAAATCAGGCTCAAATTGTCGCTAAAGTTTGCCTGGTGCGACAGGTTCTACGCCGGAGTAGTGTTCGTCAACCCGCCTCTACAGCCGCAAAGGAAATGGGATGTTACGCCTCGACTCATCCGTTTAATCAAGCCTGGCGTATACTTTGACGTCATCATCGTGTACCTGGACATCGCTTCGTTGCAAAAGAACTGCAGCGAGACGGATCGCGAAGGGAAAATATCGCAAATAAGCGTTCTCTGAACTAATAAAAGAACTAAATTTTGCTTCCGATCTACACTTATGGAGCCGGTTGGCCGTGATTTTATTTGGAAACGTTCCCACAGTCCCTGCTGAGCAAGGAGATTTGAACCAACAGGAGAAGGCGTGACGTCGTGTTTTTAACTTTAGTCATAAAAAAAATGTAAACAAACACAGCTAAGCCCGTCCCATCTGATGTAGAGCGGTTCGCTCACAGCGCTGCGCTTATTCCGGCCGGTAGGTTTTAAGAGAGATTCGGTCGGACTTGAACGATTTACCCGAAGACTGTCCTCCATCGACGGTCAGGCTGCAGCGATCTGCGTTTGTCATGGCTGGAACCAACCGGTGCCGCTTTTATTTCCTACACACAACCATCAACCATGCTGGGTGGAACGGCAAGTCCCTATGGAAAAGGAAGGCTTCAAGAGTGAGTCTGGGGTGACATTATGCCTTCTCCTAGTATTCTTAATATTCTTGCACTGAGTGACAAAAATAAATTCAGAATCATCGGTCTATTTTTTTTTTAATTTTATTTCGCCTTCAATGTTCGTCATTTGAAATGTTTTTGTTGTTTTAATCCTAATTTGAGAAAAAATGGTTACGCGGCAAGTTTTCGACACTTTTTTGGCGAAGTGGCGTAAGCGCAGAACCGTACTTGGATCTTATGAACACGGATCGCGTTCGAAAAACACTGAAGTCGCTGGCACCCAGTTCATGCATCACGCAAAGGACACCGCTGCAGACATGATGGCGTCTGCGGACACGCCTCATGCAATGTTTGCTTCCCATATGCTTCGAACAGACAGTGTTTGATTGACCAGCGTGACACAAAGGAAGGCCTCAGACAGTGACTACAGACTGTCTTTTGTCTGACGTATTACGATCAGTCCGCGCTTTCCACTTTTCCCCCGCTTCCTCCTCTCGCCATTCTACCCTGTCCACCGTTGCCTGTTTCCTCCTTTCACAGGGAGAGGAGGATCTTCTGCCTTGCAGAATCTCGTGACAGGCCGTCGGCCTTTAAGGGGCCAACGGGGGTCGAAGGGATGTCCGTGGGGCTAAGTTATCTGGAATGTCTACTTTCCTGCAGAGCAGTTGGGAGGGCCAGCTGCTACAACCATGAAGGTAGGAAGCTTCTGGAGACGACATAACGCCACCAGAGGTCAAGCCGGAAGTGTGGAGGGACACGGCCGTAACGATGACCCAAACCATTGATGTTTTGGTCACCCTCCGTCCTCCATGGCTACAATCAACGCCTAGGCGTGTGCCGAGGCTGGTACCCCAAACACTGTCCATCACCCTGCTCGGTGCGACCGAGCAGACTCTTTTGTTCTAGGTCCTATTTCAAGCCATCGCCAAGTTCCCTCCGTACATTGCAAGGCTCTCCAAACTGCTTTGCGGGAAAGTAGACAGATTTCTTAGAGTCTCATTAGTGACACTGCGCTTAAGGCGAGCGCGAGCGTCAGAGCGCAGACTGCGTTTTTCGCTGCAAACGCTTTCCCGATAATATTTACGAAGCCCGTCTCTGAGGATCCCAGTGATTAAGTCTCCGATTTCACCGTGGAAAAAATTAAACACGCTGCAAACGCTCGATATTCTGAC